CCTCATATTATGTCAAAATTATGGTTAGTCTCGTTACGTGGGCAACCGACGCGTTTGACGTATTATTTTGTAAAATGTCCCTTTTGTGTTCATATAATCTTTTATTTAGATTCCTTGAGGTTTCTCCTATGTATTTTTTGTGACAATTATTACAAGCGATGGAGTAAAGTCCTCCTTCAGGTTTTAGCTTATTGTTTTGTTTAGTATTGACTATGTCTTTTATTGTTTTGGATGTAGTAGTAACGACTTTTATGTTGAGTTTATATAGATTCTTTTCGATTGTAGATGTAATAGAATTAGTAGGTAGGAAAAGATTTATTTGATTCGTTGGGTTTCTCAGGAGGAGCTGATTTTTGTTTGGGAATATTTAGTGGTATTTTTGTTTCGAATTGAATATAAAATAATTAGGATGCTGAAAAAATTTGAAAGTGTTTTTAATGTATTTCATGTAAATAATTGGAGCTGCACATTCTTAGAAATCTCTAGTAGAATCTGATGATTCTGATTTTATTCTGTTGTTATGATGGGAATAGAAGTTGATTAGGTCGTTTTTGTTGATTGATTTCCGGTGGATACTGAGTTTTAAACTGTTATTAGGAAGGGTAAGGAATTGTGTTCTTCCATTTCGGATGTAAATTCCAAATTTGTTCAGTTGATCTACTAGATCAGGTAAAATCAGTGTCACGAGCATATATAAGTAGAGCATCGTCAATATAACGAAAGTATGTTGATTGTGCGGCCCTCACACTCCTCTCCATCGAGTCCTCTGTCAACACGCGGCGTAGGAAAGCCAACCTCGAGGCATGTCGGTGATGGCATTCCGAGGCCTCATGACACTGGCGTCGGGCACAGGCATCTCTGTCGACGTGATGCTTGTGACCCCCCCTACAAGAGAGAGGAGAGCAAACGCTCGATCGCCTTCTTACATTCCTTACAGAGAAGAATACAGACAACCGATAAAGGATGAGAGGAAAACGTAAGTGGCTCACGTCTGAGCCCTACCCAGAAGGACAATCGCCTTCGGAGCCAACCTTTGCCAGTACTTCTGATCATTTTTTCTCCAGCTGGAGTCCGGGCCCGAACCACACTCCGAAAAAGCGGACGGACCAAAGGGCTCCAGAAGATCAATCCTCTTCCAGGCGCCCAACCGCAAACCGGAAGACTTGTCGCGGTCAATCTTAGCCCCCGTGATATTTTTGTACCGCTCAATGTCGCTGCGTGACGACACGAAAGTGGATACGTCATCGGCGTACGTGGAAATCCTGAATCGAGACCCACCAGGGATAGTGATTCCACGTAGGGCCGGACTGCATGCGCTGTTCCTCAGCCGGTGAAGGAGAGTCTCCAACGCCAAAGCGTAAAGTAGGGGTGACAGCGGGCAACCCTGACAAACCGACCGAGACAGCTCAAAATCGGCGGCCGCTTTCCGTTCACCTGTACCACAGCACTACAGGAGGCTAATCCACTTGCAGATGTAGGGTTCGAATCCAACGGCCTGCAGAACAGCAGCCAGGTACCGATGGAAGACCCTATCACATGCTTTGGACTGATCCTAATTGATCAGCGCAGCTTGCTCGTCGTCTTTAACGCCCTCTAGGATATAAAATCGCTAACTCCTCTCCCTCAGTAAGAGTGAGTGCTATTTCAATAGACGAGTACATCTTGTGGGAGTTGTTCAGCTACTCCATAGCAGAAGGCTTGGAAAATTTGATACTCACAGGAGAAACAGTAATTAGCATAACGTAAAACGTCGGTTGTGGTTTGTTATAGAAAAGGAAGGGCTCAGCCAGGTCGACTTATCCAAGAAGGAATACCTCTCAGCCTTTCAAGGAAGTGGCTAGTTGTTCAGTAGCGTAGCAACACTACGATCACACCTGATCACACGATGATGATGATGATGGCAATGATGATCGTGATGATGATGGTGTTGCGGGAACAGTTGAATAAAAATATATTTACGTTATTTGCATTTGTACTAATATCCACATGTTTACTGTTAGTATCATGACGTTTAGATCATTGGGCTCTCTAGTCTTTAATCCACTAGGCCATGGGTCGGCAACCTACGACACGCGTGCCACACGTCAAGCATTTTGTAATAATACGCAGCCTAAATAAAATCACGAAGTCGGAACCATTAACTACTACAACGCAAAGAAGATATTTAGCTGTTTCAATTTTAATATATACTAAAGTATATTTACTATATATTACTATATAAAATATATTGTAGAACAGGTATATTGACCTTGACATGTATAAAAATACATATGCCGTTGGCACTATGAATGATTTTAAAACCTTAAAAGCAATAGTAAAAAGCAATAGTAAAAAAGAAGAAGAAGAAGAAAAGGGAAGAAGAAGAAGAAATTGTTTTTTTGGAAGAAGAAGAAGAAGAAATAATAATAAAAGAAGAAGAAGAAGAAGAAAAGAAGAAGAGTAAAAAGCAAAAACATGTTGTTTTAAACTTTTGAAAAAGTTTAGTAAAAAGAAAGGGAAGAAGAAGAAGAAGAAGAAGAAGAAGAAGAAGAAGAAGAAACTTAAGTCGGCACATAGCAAAAGGTTACCCACCCCTGCCGATTTCTTATGTTATTAAGACTGTAACCAGGAATAATAAAAAACAAAATTTCCTGCTCTCCTAAGAACACCTTTGCTCTATAGTTAAATAGATTTGTTCCATTAAATAATACAAGATGATATAAATTATGGATTTAGTTTTTATTACTTACATTCAGATTATTGTCTTCATCTTTGTTGTTATTATCACAATGTTTCAGCCATTTTGCACTTGAGCCTTTATCAGTTCATAGCATTTCATTATACAGTGTAACCCGGATATAAGAGACCCGGATATAAGAGAAACCCAGATATAAGAGAGATTTTATCTGGTCCCAAATTAGAGCCTGTGTTAATGTATATAAATTAAACCAAACCCGGATATAAGAGAAACCCGGATATAAGAGACTTCTTCTCTGGCCCCGACAACTCTCTTATATCCGGGTTACACTGTATAGCAGGGAAGAACACCTTTCCTTATTTCTAATGAAATTTTCCCTATAATTTTTCCGTATAATTTTTGTTTCTGGAAGGTTTTGCACATCAATGCAATTGACCTTTTCATTCTGTGTCATGTCTTCCATTATCTGTTATAACAGATTTCTCTATTGGCTTGATTTTGGGATCTTTATTTTATAGTTTATACCAGGGATCGGCAACCTTAGGCAAGCATGCTACATATGGCACGCCAAACAATTTCCAGTGGCACGCAGCCGCAAATGACATCACGAAGTCCGAAACAAAAACTACTACAACGCAAAAAAGATATTTAGCTGTTTCATTTTTAACATATACTAAAGTATATATACTATATATGAGTGTATAGAATATATTGTAGAACAGGTATATTGACCTTGATTTGTATAAAAATACGTATGCTGTTGGCACACGGAATGATTTTAAAACCCTAAGTCAGCACATAGTTAGCAAAAGGTTGCCGGCTCCTGCACTCGGCTATTTTAACGGCATAATAAGCTTGTGTATTAAGGCGTTGGTTTGTAAGTTTGGGAGCCTGTGTTCAATCTCTATGCCGAGTAGTACAAACTGAAACTCAAACTTAGTGGACGCAATGACTAAACAGTACGAAATAACGACTAGACGTAGCAGAACGAGAACAATCTATCCCTGTGGATTAAATAAAGGGTTTTCAAATAAAGGGTTTCAGTTCGAAATTTCCTGGAGGCTACCCGATTCGACAGACACCTGCACAAAAGGCAAACCGTTGTCATAAAAACAACAAAAACGAGGACATTTATGCGCCCGTCAGTAAGTTATGTGCCATGCGTGATACACGCTTATGCGATCATGTATCTTTCGATACATTACTGACGAGGCAGATTTTTTCCCGTAGTGGGTTGCCATTTCTTTCTGCGGTAGACAGTCCCCATCCAAGGCTATAGAACCCATAGCTTGGGGGGGGGTAGAAGAGGATTCATACCTTTCTCAAGGGCATTAGCACGTAAGTGAATGTAATGGATTTGACTGGAACTCGAACTCGGCTCCCCGATTCCTCAATCCGAGCTGCTATCCATTACTCCACTGCCTTCAATGAATGTAAATAATGATGACACTCCATCCAAAAAATTTAAACAAAAAAAAAAAAAAATGGGTGGAAATTATTTTTTTTTCTTTTATCTGCCATGTTTCTTCAGAAAATGAGCGATCATGGGTCTTCACAACTTCCTATCCTTTTAGCTCTGAACAAGTTTTGTGTCCTTGCTATCCTTCCCAGTTCTTGATCTGCCAGTCATTTACAAAAGCTTGCTTTTTCCCCGCTGTCCCTCAATATGTCCTGTAAGTGTCAAATTTTCCAAGCCCTCTTTCCTCATTATGTGCTACAGAATAGGAAAGACTGAAAAAAACACTGAAGTAATGTCTATTTGGATTTCTGTTATTATTTGCATTATTTACATCCTAACTATTATCCTCATCATTGTTGTGATCACAACAATATGGGCATTGTGCGCGCCGGCTCTCTTTAGGGGCTTTTCAATCCGGGTAATTTTCATAGAATTTCAAACGGAACCCTTTTATCTAATCTGCGAGGGCAGATTATTCACTTTCTCCTGAAGAAGTCTCGGGATATATATGTATCTCGAAACAATAGCTGAGTAAACTAAACAGTCTGTCAGTGAATTTTGTGATATAGCCATTGTGAGTTCAATCTCTGGGCCGGGCAATGTATACTTTGAGTCAGTGGAAACTGGATTGACATTACTATTTGATTGATTTGTTTTTTACGGCTTACCAACCTTTAGCAGGTTATTCAAACCCGAAAATATTTTTATTGTAAAAAAAATCTTTGCGGATAATAATGATTTACAGATACACGTTTTACTAATTAACCCATAGCTGGGAGGAGAAGAGGTAGTTTCATAACTTTCGCCTAAATTAATATAACGAACCCGAGCCGTTATCCATTAGACCACAGACACATCCAAGCTTATAGCACCTGGTATTCTCAAGCGGTCACCCATATAGGTACTGACAGTGCTCGACGATGCTTAACTTCGGTGGTCGTACGAGAACCGGTGTTTCAACGTGATATAGCTGTAAATCTTAACAGTGCTAGACAGGATATCGCTGGATATGTTCAGTAGTTGATCTAAATTCATGAAGGTTACCCGGAGCGACGAGAAACTGATGAAGACCGCTAGGCAAAATGGTCGAAACACTGTGATCAAAACAACAAAGATGAGGATAATAGTGCGCATGGAAATGCAGAACTAATGTATACTCACCAGAGAGTACCACCCCTGCCTCCCATTAAAGTGTCTGACGCTCAACTCCACGAGAGCACCTCTTTGCGACTTCTCGATCTCACATTGTCCGCTGACCTGAGATGGAACGAATACATTGCGTCAACAGCTTCGTCCACCGCTAGGAAAGTTGGCTCCCTGTGCCGCGCTAGCAATTTTTTCTCATCGGAGTCGATCCTTCAAATTTAAAAATCAACCATTCGTCCTTGCATGGAGTACTGCTGCCATATATGGTCTGGAGCTTCTTGTAATTGTCTCAAGGTCCTTGATAAAATCCAAAGACGGATATGCAATGTAATTGGCCCTGATCTGGCATCTCGGCTGCAGTCGCTCTTTCACAGACGTACCGTTGCCTCCCTCTGTCTTTTTTACAAATACTTTTATGGTAACTGCTCCGATGAGCTGCTTTCGCTGGTTCCGAAACTTCATGAATTTAAACATTCTACTAGGCTGGTATCTCGCTATCACCATTTCACTGTCGAAACTGTTAAATGTAGCCGTCTCTTCTACTCCAATAGCTTCATGTTTCGCACTTCTAGCCTGTGGAACTCCCTCCCCATTTCTTGTTTTCCTGATAGCTATAATCTCCAACTATTCAAATGTAATGTCAATCGACGTCTCCAGATGCCTCGATCTATCCCCTAACCTTCTCTTCATCCTTTCCTCTATCACTCCTCTTTGCTCTAGCTCAAACTCTCTGTAACCTCTTGCGTGCTAGTGGCTTCCCGCCTTGCTTGGGGTTGAATGCTTAAAAAAAAAAAAAAATTCCGAATAAGACTTTTTAGCGAGTAACAACCTCCATGTTTTCAAAAGATGGTTCTTACTTACGTAAAGATCGCTTCTGATGTTCCCACCGGCTCCCATAGAGACAGATTCCATACCATAGGAAAAACACATTGGCGTTTCAGGAATTTTTTTTTTTTCCTTAATCCCTTTACAGAAAGAACCAGAATGAAGCTGAAAGAAAATAGAACACATAATAAAAAACTAATGCTGATTTCTCATAAAAGGTAGTAGGCGATCATGGCTCTCCATAACATCCTATTATCCTTTGTAGCTTATAGTAAGGATTGTCTTTTAACCATCCCACCCATTTCGTGTTCTGCCATCCATTTACAAAAGCACGTTATGTAGAGTGATTATGGCTCTCCACAACTTCCTATCCTTTGTAGCTCGTAGTAAATTTTGTCTTTTAACTATCCCTCCCATTCTGTGTTCCGCCATCCATTTACAAAAGCACGTTATGTAGAGTGATTATGGCTCTCCACAACTTCCTATCCTTTGTAGCTCGTAGTAAGGTTTGTCTTTTAACCATCCCACCCATGCCGTGTTCTGCTATCCATTTACACAAGCACGTTATGTCGGGTGATTATGGCTCTTCACCACTTCCTATCCTTTGTAGCTCGTAGTAAGGTTTAACTTTTCACTATCCCTTCTAATCGATGTTCTAACATGATGTGTAAAACGCTAAACTTACAATGAAGCCAGAAAGCAGTGCAGATGTGTTTGTTTTGTGGAGATTACTTCCACCTTGTCTGGAAGGATGCTGCTAGCTGGCGCTTTTTAGGACTATAAAAGAACGGTTAAATAAACACTTTGTCTTCCTTGCTCCAAAATATAGCAGCGAGAACACGAGTCTTCCATTCTGAGGAGGATTACTGACCTAGCCTTGTGGTGCATTTCACACACGCATACCAGATGTAAACTCACACATGCGCATTTCACACACACACACATATTCGCACACATAGGCACAGATTTCCGACCAGCTAAGTATTAAATGCTTTTCTTTCACAAAAGTATATTTCTTCACATCTTGTATTGTTACTTTATTTCGCGATAATCTATCTTGGCCCTTCATAAACCTACCATTCATACCATTCGTCAGTGCATCGAATATTGCTGCTACATTTGGTTTGATGTACATAGCTTTTTGACAAAGTCCAAAGAAGTATATGCAACGTTATGAGTCATGACCTGGCATCTAGTTTTATATGCACATAACTCTGTCCAGTATTTCTGCTATCATTTGGATAGAGGCATGTGGATTCGACGGTATCTGTGCAGTCGTCCTTAAGAAAGGTGACCCTCAGCTGACCCCTGTTTTCTTGATATGTTACATCAAATGCCTCGCGACTTCTTACTTTCCAGCTTGCTCTAAGCCCCACCCCTGTAGTTTTAAGAATTCTGAGGGGGTGGATCTCTAACCCGTCAAACTATCGCCCTATTAGTCTCTTACATTTTTGTCTAAGTACTCGATGTTCTAATCAATGTTCTAATTGGTTAAGCATTTTAATTTGCACAGCCTCCTTCGGACAATCGATATGGCTTCTGTTTCCCCATCACTAAATTTATCTACCAAACTTTAGATATGAACAGCGAAACTGCCACATTGGATATCTCAAAGACGTCCGTAAGGTTTTGGCATACTGGCCGTCTCCACAAGGGCTACTGTGTCACTGGACGAATATTTGATTGAATTCAATCATTTCTAAAAAAAAAAATTGTGTAATGAAACAGACACGCTTCTAGTTCATTTGATGTTATGTGGCAGATGTGATGAGACAGAACCTGGGATGAGCACAACTGGTCGCGACTTGCCTTGTCCCCGCCAAAAAAAGAGCCCGTATTTGCTTAGCATGTAAAGCTACTGCAGTTGAAATGAGGGAGAAAAAAGCACTTACCGCTCTGCTGTAATCCGTCCTCGGCCAGATAACATAAAAGAATGAGGGGGGACTTGCATTGCATTTTTATGCAATAACGATGCAATGCCTTATGGGACATGGACGCAATGAATTATGGGATCACATTAAGACGCAAGGGATTATGGGTATATGGAAAAATATAAAAGCAACTAATTTTTCCCAGTAGGGGAGTTCTTTGAGTGACGTTCACGGTTGGCGGCAAGAAAAGTCTGTTAGTGCGATTTTGAGTCAGAACTCGAGAAGGAACGACTCGAGGTTGGAATACCAGCTGGGAGAGCTTGAATTTACTCGCTGGTTGCTGTTTTCTTTTTATTCGCCACATATTAATGCAACCCTCACCCAGGAATCTATCTCTGGATCTACATTGTTTCTGATCTTCGTCAACGAGCTTGCCGATATCATGTTCCTAATATGCAGATGACACAAATATTTATCTTAGTAGCAATCCGACACATACTGCAAAGTAAAACTGTACACTGCTCTTGAAAAGGACCTCTAATCAGTGGTTAATTGGGGCAAGAAATGGCTTATAGATTTTCACGCCTCCAAACCAAAATTGCTTTCATTTAATCACGATAGAGAGCCTTTTCTTCCTGTCATCAGCATGGCAGATGCTAAACTCCAGGACAACAACACTTTGCGGCGATATCATGGCAACAGGTTCGATTGTAAGAAACGTCTGTTTGTCACCGGTTGCAATAAGTGAAAGTCACTATTTGAAGATAGAATCAGACACTTGTCTTTAAGAACTCTGGAGAACACTCTCACTCCTTAAATTATCGCTCTATTAGCCTCTTACATTTTTGGCAAAGTTCTAGACGCTCTAATCAACATCGAATTGGTTAAGCATCTTACTTCCCAATGCCTTCTTTCGAATAAACAATATAGCTTTCATTTGTCCAGGTCTACCGTCGATGTGTTAACGGCCATAACTGAATTTGTCTATTAAGTTTTAGATAAGAAGGGGGAAGCTCGGGCTGTGGCCCTAGATATCTTAAAGGGTTTCGCCACGGTTTGGCATGCTCGCCGTCTCCTCAATCTTGACGCCTACGATGTCTCTGGACCAATATTTGGTTTAATCCAATCGTCCCTGACAAATCGTGTAATAAAGTTTGTGTTTAACAGGCACGCATACATAAAATTTCATATTAATACGGAGCTCCCTAAATCCCTATCTTTCAACCTACTCTATTTTCGATCTTCTCGGTGTCATCAGTTCCCAACTAGACATTCATACAGATGACACAACTATTAATTTCTGTCTTAGTAGCAGGTCTAAACCTGGCAACTCCTATCGAAAAGGACCTCCAATCAGTGGTTAAACGGGGCAAGAAATGGCTTGTCAACTTAAACGTTTTCAAAACAAAATTTATTCACCAAAGAGAACCTTTCCTGCCTGCCATCAGAATGATCGATTCTAAACTACAGCAAAGCAACATTTTGTTTCTTTTTGGCCTCATGTTTTCCACTGACATGAAGTGGAATGGTTATATCGAATCAATTTCTACATCTAGTGCTAGGAAAGTTGGTTCACTGTGTCGTGACAGAAAAATTTACTCTTCAGAATCCATCATGCACTTTTATAAATCTATCATCCGTCCGTGCATACTGCTTCCAAATGTGATTTGGCTTCCGTCTGTCTTTTCTACGAATATTTTCATGGCAACTGCTTTGATGAGCTACTTTCACTGGTAGTCCAACTGCATGAATTTAAGCGTGCTACTAGGTTAGCATCTCGGTCCCACCCCTTCACTGTCGAAACAATTAAATGTAGCCGTCTCTTCTACTCCAACAACTTCTTCTTTCGTGCTTCCCGTCAGTGGAACTCCCTTCCTCTTACTTGCTTCCCTGACTGCTATAATCTTCAAATATTCAAATGTAATGTCAATCGACATCTTCTGATGCCTTAATCCCCATTCCTATCCTTCTCTATATCTGTTTGAAGCTTAAATAAGCATGGAATAATACAACACAAAATGTACGTTAACAAAATGTCATGGTGCACAATATTTACATTAGTTTGGTATATTCTTGGGAAGACTGTTTCCTCATAATGGGTTGACTAAATCGCCCTCTCCTTCTCTATATCT